GGGGGAGCAGCGGGCGGGTCAGGAGAGGTCTGCCACGCCATGTGGTCACCTCCGGGGCAGGCGGGAATCGAACTCATGAGGAAGTGGCTTTAGATTCTCAGTGCTGTGCTTTAACCCGCTGCGCCACCAGGGAGGGCCCATTCTGATTCTGTTTTAATCAACAGATGATGAACTGATTTTAATAGATAAAAATATTTCAATTAAGTTCAAGCTTCTTTTTGATTCTTATGGCTGTGGAAAAAGGGAGCTGCATGGCTAAACTTAAATCACTTAAATCCTTCTTGCTCCTCCATTTTTCTCTTGGTGAATGGCATCCTCTGTTGAATCTGTTGCCCATATTGGAAACCTGGGTGATATGTTTCAGCGCCATTCCTTCCCTGCTACCAGCCATCAGCTTGCAGTTTTCACCCCTCTCTCTCTCCATGTCTTTGGATCTTTCCCCTCCTTCCCGCCACACCTCCACTTTCTTCCTAGGCAACTTCCTTCCATGTTCCACAGTCATCTTTGTTAACACATATCTCTCCATTACCCCTCAGCTTAAGTTCCTTTCCAGTAATCATTGGGTTATTAATTTGGAGAGTGGATCTGGATTACTATGTTGAAGTTCCAGATTTCATCAGATTTATTACCAAGATTATTACCTAATCTGTTCCTCACAAGAAGCACATTGAACTTCTGAACTGATTTATATTTCTCTCATTAACTAAATCGTATTTAGAGATCCCCAAAATAAAGGAAAAATTATCTATTTTTTACTTAAAGCCAAGAAGATACTTTTTAAGACTTATTTTGCTTAGAATTGAGAATTTAAGCTCAGTGACAATGTTAAAGAAAAGTGTGGTCTTCCCTTATCTGTGGGGCATCCTTTACAAGACCCAGTATTGAAGTAGACGCTTGAAACACAGATAGTTCCAAATCCTCTATATGCTTTGTTTTTTTTTTATAATACATATCCATAATAATGTTTAACTTATAAGTAGGTATGCTAAGATTAATAGCTATAACTAATAATAACAGAACAATTATAACTATTCTGTATAAAACTTCTCTCATGCAGGGGCTCTCTCTCTCTCTTTCCCCTTAAATTTAGTATACCCCCCACTTATTTGCAGTTTTACTTTCCTTGATCAACCATGGTCCAGAAATAATTACATACAATAGGAAATAACACATACAATTAGATATATGTAATATACATGAAAATATTGCATACAATAAGATAAATATATGACTTTGGTTGACCATGGAAAGTGAAACCACAATAAGTTGGGACCACTGTGTTTATTTTAAGGGTATTAAGTATAGAACTCTTTCTAAAGTAATGACTAATAAAGTTTTAAAAGAGGGTCTGGTTAGATCTTAGTTTTAATTTCTCATGCATATTGTGATTAGCCACAGTGTGGAGAGAAAAAGCCTGAAGGTTAATTAAGGTTCATGTATTGAATGTGGCAACCACACAAATAGTTAATACCTGTTCACTTCCCTGACCAAACAGAAGTTCACTCTGATGATAATTTTTCTCTCAGAAAAAGCTGGGTCTCCTGGCCTCTAGGAGCATAGTCTTCCCTGTTTTGAGATCCTAAAAGAATGATCTCTCTAAAATGATAGGAGGAAAGACCTTGGAAGTTGTAGGCAAACTACTTACTCCATATCCATGTCTAGGTCCTACTCATCCAAGCCCAGACACAGTATAAGAAGTTTGTGAAATCTACTGGTTTTCTGGGAAGTGAACAGTGGGCAGTGATTCGCATTGTGGAGCAACGAGTGCGCTTCTACCCAATGGCCTTCTTTTGTTGCTGGGGTCCAGGTGAGTATCTTAATGGAAATAACCAGAAAAGGAAGGGTAATGTTTGGATGCTGATCAAGCAACATGGTCTTACCAAGAAGGATGTCTGCAAGTTCCTTTCCAGCTTATAAAATTTACATTAGTCAGTTTTTACCGCTTCCTTCTTTCTTCTTATACTTAGAAGTTAATTAGACATGAGATGCCACCTGTTATAAGAGGGAATGATCTGATTGAAGTCAGAGATAGTTATACCTGCCTTGCCTACTGAAATGAGGATCAGATTTGATAGTGTTTATAAAAGAGCTAGTAAACTCTTAAATGCTAAGAATTATAGCTTAGTATTTTCCTGTGGTATGTTTTGCCATAATTACTAATCACTTGTAAAGTTTAATTAATAAGAAATAAATAGAAGTTGGTGACATGAGGCTTGGTAGTTTATCTAACTGGCTAATCTCACTGCTAGTCCTCACTTTGCAGATAACTTCCATTCTTACATTGCATAGGACTGTTTATTGAAGAATTTTATGCTCAGACAAATAGAACTGAGGTTTGTGTTTCAATGTATAATTTTGATTTCTACAGTCGTAAGGCTTACACTTTGTGTTTAACAGCTATCATTCTGAGCATTGTAAAGCTGACTAAAACAAAGGACAGCAAGCTTCACATGGCCCTGTATGTTCTCCAGGTAATGCTTTCAATACCCAGCATCTCTGTTTCCACACCATCTTTTCTCTTGTACTAGCATTACTCAGTGAGCACAAGTTTTCCCCAGGATATTTATATCTACACTGCAAATTAGAAATTTAGTATTCAGTTGCAGTTAGGGAGAATGTAAAACCCTCTTCACAGAAGAGGTAGACCCTTTTGTGAAAATGCTGTCATGCTGCCTGCAGCACATATATATCTCTGGTCAATTTCATTCTATTGTTTGTTTTTAAAGGATGGATAATAAAAACAGAATCTACACAATAATATTCTTAAGTAACAGTGACTGTGACATGGCTCTCTTATATCCAGAGTGAATTGAATGGTATAAATAAGCTGTTCTATTTGAAATGGGCACAGGAGGAGAAAGAAACAATTCTCTTTTCTTCCTTTGTCAAATGTCAGCCCTTTCAGGCTGTCTTAACTGCTGTTAAAGCAGTTTTCTCAGACCTACCCTCAGGAATGTACAACTTAAGAGGGTCATTGAAACTGCTTTATTGTCCTAGTATATAAACTAGGAAATATGGTCAACTCACAGTCATCCATGAGAAGCTACAATGTGAAGAGTGAGCTAGCAAGAACTAGAAAAATATTTTAAAGTGGTTTTTAAAAACCAGGGCTTGATGTTTGAAGTACAGGAAATATAACAGTGCATTCTAAGTAAGGGGAATAGCGACAGTTAGGGACCATAGGAAATATCCCCTGGATCTCAAACTTGAAGAAAGGGCTCCATCACTCCTTCATCTCCTCCAGGCTCTAACAGCATCGTCCCAGGGTGTGCTCAACTGTGGAGTGTATGGCTGGACACAGTACAAGTTCAACCAACTAAAGCAAGAGGCTCGGCGTGATGCAGACACCCAGACACCATTATTATCCTCACAGAAGAGATTCTATAGCAGGGGCATGGATCCATTGGCCTCACACCTTGCTTTTGCTACCAACACTTCTACCATTCTTTGAAACTACATTACTGGAACATTCAGAAAAAGTAATGATACCACACAAATGGACCAGAAATTCTAACCATGCCTTACACTATGAAGTGAAAGGAAATATAGTGCCATGGTTAGTTGCTATTCTAAGTGGGTTGTACAGTTAAAGCTCCATTATGTTTAGACAGAAAGTTTTTGTTCAGGAAGATGAAGCCACTTTTCATCCAAGAAACAGACTCATTACCTCAATAAGTACTAGATTTATCTAAGTCTTACCTAGAAAAAATAAATTTCTAGGCTCTCTTCCCCATGTTTGCAGAGTAATTAGGTAGCATACAACAGCTCACTCAGATCTTGCCATTGCTACTACTCTCTCTGAGCCTGGACAACTAAAGTCCTGGGTTTCTGTTCTTTTGAGAAGTTTTAGAATTTCAGGAGAAACAAGAACAACTAATTAAAAGTGACAGTGGTATCCTTAAGCATCACATCTTAGTCTCTTATATCTTCCACTCTATTGTAGAAATTAACACTAGGGACCATCCTGCTTTACAAATTTAAGGCTAATCTTTGGCAGTTACAGATAGAATGTTGGGGAACTTAATGAGATTTAATAAGATTTAAGAGAAATCATGACTAAATAGAGCATTAGCAATCAAAAACTCAACTTTCATTTACAAGCCTAAGTCCAAAGTAGGTTTCATAGTGCCTAGAATTAGAATTAGGTTAAATTATATGAACTTGCCATTTTTATAGGTAAAAATTGTCTAATGTCATCAATTTTACATGGTTCAACCTATGTGGGTGTGAAATATGTGTTTATGCAGTAAATAAATTAACAAGTGAATGAACGACTAAGTAGTATTTAACCCTTTGGGAAGGCAAAAATCTCAGACTACAGAGCTTTGTTCATAGGTAGGAATGCTTACATACCTCTTTAATCACATGAGTGATGTTTGGTCTCTCCAGTTAAGTTATGAACCAGATCAGTAGAAGGCCAGGGCATCAGATTTACTTTAATGTCAAAACATAGAAGAAAGCCAAATGTACTAAGTAACTAGAGTGATAACCTAAAACATCTGAAACTTATATGAGATGCTTCTCGCCTGATAAATCCCAAGGCAAAATCTTAAGACTAGAGAAAATTGATAGATTATGAAGTATTACATAAACTACTCTAAAAAATTAAGTTCCAGAGGTCCTTCTGAAGGTGTGTTTTATAGAGAGATGTTATAGACATCAATGATAGCTCTTTACATTTTTGATTAAGAGATTCAGCTAAACTATGCGGGGTAACCTGACCTGGTTCTGTCAGGAATAACATCTTGTGGTCTCTGATTGGTCCAAAGCATTGAAAATGTGATTTCTGGATAGCACTGAGTAAGAAAGCTTGCTTCACTTGGGGGAGCTACTTTGTTTTTATTTAAAAACTAATATGTATTCAACATAAGAAAGACAGAAGGAAGCAAGAACTTTTGTTTCCATAGAGCCTGAGGGACATCAGTACTAAGAAGTCTAATTCTTAGAAAGTACCTTCAGTATCACTTTTACTTGGTTTTATTTATCAGAAACATTTATTTTAATGTTTTACTTGACATTAAAGTAAATCTGATGCCCTGGCCTTCAACTGATCTGAATGTTAAGAACTGAATATTAAATGTTCCCTGATTCTTTCCATTGACACTGGTCTTAAATTGTCTGTGGATGTATGAATGAGAAATAGGAATGGGATAGGAATGAGAAATAATAAAAGGGTAGTCAAGACCAGGATAAATATTGCCAGATTTTCATCACAGTAAGTCAGAGGGACATATGTAGCTGGACCATTGTTTAAGTTGCCCCGCCCCCCAAATGATCAGATTCACATAGGAATGGCATAGCTATAGATTCAGTGGCAATTCTTAATAGTGTTGTAATTACTTCTCTTATGACACTTAGTCAGGTTACAGTCATAGTAAAATCAATTATCTAAAAAGGTTCAATTAAGATAGATCTTCTGTGAGCCATCCTTCACTTCCCCCAGTACCACATGTTCTTCATGAGAAACGGGTGAGTGTTTGATGTTTTTCAATGTGTGGGGACCATTGAAAGTTTTTACAGAACATATCAGTCTTCCACATTTCACGTCTTTGATTTTATACTTGCTGAAGACCTTGAACACTCCTTCAGATTTAGAGTCATAGCTTCCAAACCATGCCATCCTTGGTTTGGAATCACAGCAACTTTCTTGGGCAACTTTTGTTCCCTGTCTAAAGATGTTTTACATATATTTATTCTCCAGGCTTCAACACCTACCCCTACCCTGGTAGCAATACAAAGTGTGCCATCTTTTTGTAGGTATCTGACTGATATCACTTGGAAGCCTCATTACAGTGTGGTGGAGGTCACATACTGATGTGGTAGCAAGATGTGTTATCTTTAGAAAATTAGGTTTTTGCAATATGATTTCTAGATATACGATCTGAACCTTCTTCAGCCAGTATGAGGGCAACAGCAGTGTCCTTTTGACAGTCAGGGACACTGCCTCAATCACATTCTCCTTTATCCATTTTCTTATTCTTGACATTTCAGAGGAGCTTCAGAGTTCATGTTTATTAATTCCCCTCTGAGTCCCTGCAAGATGTATTGGAAACTATAGTTGCTGAGGCTCCTATCTATAGCAATAATTCATGCATAGTACAGATTCTGTCAACGACACTTGGAGGCCACATGCTCATGTTTCATTTCTATGTGACCAAACTCATGAAATGTGAGAACTGCAAAATGTGGTATATCTTTATGAGCCAAAGATTTGACACTGGTTGTATTCTTACCAGAGTAGATATCACTGAGATGTATTACCCTAGTATTTTCTAAGCCTTTGAACAATAATCACATGAGCAAAATAATGCTTCACCCATCTCAAAAGATATGTCTCCTGACTGGTTAAATTGCTTTTTTGTTTATTCCATCTAGTTTATTAAACTTTTAATTTTCTTACATCATTGTTATTTTTGTATAGTATTTTATTTCTTCTGTGTATGCCCCCATAAATCTCCCACCACCACATCACCTGTGAGCCATTACCATAGTCCCTTGTGCTCTTCTGTTTTTGACCCCTCTCTTTCTCCCTCCCCAGCTATATGCTGCGATCCTATAGTTTGCCTACAGGTTTGTCTTTTTCCTAACCCTCTGTTTGGTTCCCCTATATACCTCCTATAATTGAAACCATCTAATATTTTTCTTTTTCCTTCTGGTTTATTTCACTGAGCATGATCCCTTCCATCTCCATCCCTGTTGCTGCAAATACTTACCTTTTTTAATCACCGAGTAGTATTTCATTGTATAAATACACCATATCTTCTTGATCCATTCATCTGTTTTGGAGCATTTAGTTTCATATCTTTGCTATTGTAAATAGTGCTACAATAAACATAGTAGTGTAAGATTCCTTTCAAAGGAGTGTTTTTGTGTCCTTTGGGTAGATTCCTTTGAGTGGAATTGCTGGGTCATATAGTAGATCCATTTTTAGTAGTTCTGAGGGTCCTCCACAGCTTTCCAAGGTGGTTGGACCATTTTGTATTCCCACCAGCATTGTTAAGAGGGTTCCTTTTTCTCCACATCCTCAGTATTTGTAGTTGTCCGTTTTGTTTAATATTAATAAGAATGTTGCCATTCTTACCTATATAAGGTGGTATCTCATTGTGGTTTTGATTTGAATTTCCCTAGTTATAAGTGATGTTGAGCATTTTTTCGTGTGCCTGTTGGCCATTTACATTTCCTCTTTGAAGAAGTGTCTTTCAGGCTCTTCCGCCTATTTTTTTACCTAGATGGTTTGCTTTATATTTGTTGAATTGTGTAAGTTCTTTGTAGATAGATCTTTGATATCAATCCTTTATCAATTATATGGGGTGTAAATATTTTCTATCAATCAGTAGTGGGTCTCTTGGTTATTGTTTCTTTTGCTGTACAAAAGTTTTTTAGTTTGATATAACCCAAACTGTTTACCTTTCCTTTATTTTCTTTGCTTCTGGATATGAATCCTTAGAGATGTTTTTGAGGTTTATATCATGGAGTATTTTGTTTAATGTTTTTATATTTTTTATGGTTTCTGGTCTTATATTAAAGTCTTTTATCCATTTTGAGTTGGTTTCGTATGTGGTGTAAGGTAGTGGTTTAGTTTCATTCTTTTGAGTGTAGTAGTCGCGTTTTCCCAACACTGTTTAATGAGGAGACTATCATTGTTCCAGTGCATATATTTCTCCTTCGTCATAGACTAGTAGACCATAAACCCAGTGGCTTTATTTCTGGATTTTCAATTCAGTTCCATTGGTCTGTATATTTTTGATCTAGTACCAAGCTGTTTTAGTCATTACAGCTTAAGTCTGGGAGTATAATACCTCCACTAGTCAGTGAGTTTTGGAAATTCAAGGTGTTTTGTGATTCCATATGAATGTTAGCAATATTTGTTTCATTTCTTTGAGATTTATATAGGAGTTGCACTGAATCTGTAAATTAATTTTGGTAGTATGGCCATTTTGATAATGCTAATTCTTCTGAGCCATGAGTAGGGAATGGCCTTCCTTTTTTTTTGCCATTTTCTATTTCTTTTAGCAGTGTTTTGTAATTTTCTTTCTATAGGTCTTTCACATCCTCTGTTAGATTTGTTTCCAAGTCTTTTTTTTCTTTTTGATACAGTAGTAAATGAGATGATTGTCTTGATTTCTTCTTCAGACTGACTGCTTATAGGAAAGCTACTGATTTTTGTGTGTCGATTTTGTAACTTGCTACTTTACTAAACTGGTTTACTGTTTCAGTTTTTCTGTGGAATTTTTAGGGTTCTCAACACACATTATCATAGCATCTGTAAATAGTGCTAGTTTTACTTCTTACCATATTTGGATTGCTTGTATGTCCTTCTCTTTCTTAATGGCCCTAGGTAGAACTTCCAGTATGATATTGAAAAGCAGCCCCCCACCACCCCCCACTGCGGTAGCACTGGAGTTAAAGACAGCACTATCAGGTTACTGCCAGACACTAACAGCAAGAGTTCAATCCCTCCACCAGCCAGGGAGCTGACACACAGGGCGCAGCAGACCTCTCCTGCTTTGCCTACTGCTCCCCTCAGCAGTGTACTTCAGTAGATCTGCCTTTCTGCTCCCTGCTTTCTCTAGTGAATCCTCTTACCCACTGCATCTCTGGCTTACATCCCAGAAAGAAAGAAAGAAAAGAAAAGCAGTGGTAACAGTGTCTTGCTCCAGATCTTAAAGGGAAGGCATTAAGATTTTTACCAATTAAGAACGATGTTAGCTATGGGTTTGTCGTATATGATTTTTATTATGTTCAATTATGTCCCTTGTCTTGTATTCCTAGTATTTTGAGGGCCTCACCTAAATGGATGTTGAACTTTGGCAAATGTTTCTCAGCATCTGTTGATATTATCATATTTGGTTTTTATTTTTCTCTGTGAATGTGCTGAATTACATTAATTGATATTTGGATGTTGAACCATCCTTGTGTCCTTAGAATAAGTCCCATTTGGTCTTGGTGTGTAATCCTTCTGATGCATTGTTGGATTTGTTTCCTACTATTGAGGATTTTTGCATCTGTGTTCAGTAGGGAGATTAGCCTGGAGTTTTCATTTTTGTATTGTCTTTGGTTTTGGTGTTATTGTAATGTTGGCTTCATAAAATATACTTGGTAGGATTCTTTCTCAATTCTTTGAAAGAGTTTTTGTAGGATAGACACTACTTTGAATTTGGTTGAGCTCGCCTGTGAAACCATCTGATCCTAAGCTTTGTTTTAGGTGAGGGTTTTGATTATTGTTTCAACTTTGCTGTTTGTAATTGGTTTAATTTTCTATTTCTTCTTTATTCAGCTTTGGATGATTG